AAGCTCAATATTTTTTTTACAAATGAATATACAATGATTGATAGGGGATGGAAATGGAGTAATGAACGTTGTTCGAATTTGAACAATCAAGCTTAGGGTTCTCGATTCAATCAAAGAAAGAGATTGGCGTGAGAAGAGGTTTTGACGTCAATTTAGGGTTCTTGATTTCAATTACTATAAATCAAACAAGATGATGAATATTAGAAGGATGATGACTAATAGTTGACAAATATGTATAAAAGATTAATAAAAGATAAATAAAGATATAAAGAAATCATAATGAAATTCTCTTGGTATGCATAGAGTTGGCGTGAATGATGGCTATGGTTATGATGAGTGATTTGATGATGATGATAGGGATGGTGAAGATAGATGGATAATTGTCCTACGAACCCTCCTAATCGTAATGACTAGGTAAACTATATATTCGACTCTAACCAACCCTTCTAATCACAATGCATAGGAAAATCGGAGTGTGAAGATCTCCCTCACAAAGAAATTGAAACAAATTAATGATAAAGAATGCATCATCCTATATTAAATTATATTACAATTAAATAATAAAAATATTGAAATTTTGTAATATTTATAAAATCTAGTATTAATCTCGTATAGGAATTTCTGTTAGAACCAAACCATAATAAATATACAATGATTAAGCCCACGAGTGTTTTGCAAATGAATATAGAATGATTGATAGGGGATGGCAGTGGAGTAATGAACGTTTCTCGAATTCGAAGACTCAAGCTTAGGATTTTAGATTCTATCAAAGAAAGAGATCGGAGTGAGAAGAGGTTTTGACATCAATTTAGGGTTCTTGAATGTAATTACTAGAAATCAAACAAGATGATGAATATTAAAAGGATGTTGAATAATAGTTAACAAAAATGTATAAAAGATAAATAAAAGATAAATAAAGATATAAAGAAATCATATTGAAATTCTTCTGGTATGTACGGAGTTGGCTTGAATGATGGCTATGGTTATGGTGAGCGATTTGATGATGATGATGATGATGGAGATGGAGATGGAGATGGTGAAGATAGATGGATAGTTGTCCTACAAACCCTCCTAATCACAACTGACTAGGCAAACTCAATATTCGAATCTAATCAGCCTTCCTAATCATAATGAATAAGCAAATCGGAGTGTGAAGATCTCCCTCACAAAGAACTTAAAACAAATTAATGATAAATAATGTATCATCCTATATTAAATTATTTTAAAAATAATCAATAAAAATATTGAAAATTCGTAATATTTATAAAATCTCGTATTAATCTCATATAGGAATTTCTGTTAGAACCAAACCATGATAAATATGAAAACTATCTAGGATTTAATCATGTCAAACCATCAAGAATAAAATAAACTAGATTTGCGGAAGCGTACCTGAATTAATCTATAGGTTGAAATCTTTGAATCTTTATTTAGTTGTGATCTTCCAAGAATATATAATTCTCTTAAGTATAAAATCTCTAACAGGGATAAGAGTAATACGAGATGATCTATTTCTTTGGGACCATAACCCCTCTACATAGCTGATTTAAGAATCAGTTATTTTTGTATTTATAACTTTGTCCCTCGTCAAATTATAAATACAACTTTAATAGTATCTACACTTTTATTTCCATGACCCTTCTAATACCTTATGACTTTATAACATAATTGGTCACTTAATTTATGTCATATTTTATGATAACAAATATACATTAAAAATATGTGCTCATAATTATAGATTTTAATCCAACAATCTCCCACTTGGGCAACAAATATTTCCTTAATATAAAAATCAGTACCCAAGCTATATAGTTTTTCTCATTTAGGTGTCTAAACTATTTTTCGGTTAATCTCGGTACCTAACTTTACAAACGTTATCATTTTAAGTGCCCCGACCATAAAAGTCATTAAAAATCCGTTAAATAACACATGTCATATTTTATTTTTTTTAATTTTTATTTTAGAAATAAAAATTTTAAAAAAACAATTATTCCTCGTTCCTCCTTCTCCCCTCTTCCCTCCCAGTCCCCCGGACGTCCCTCTCACCTTCCTTAGGACAAAAATTTATCTTCTCTACCCACTAAATTTAGGGTTAGATCAAGACACTTAGAATGGTAACGTTTGTAACTTAGACATCTGGATTGATCGGAAAAAAATTTACACATAAATAGAAAAAAAAAAGTATAATTTTTGTAATTTTTTCTATTAAGCCTTTAAAAATATATAATGTCTATTTTAGACATTATGTTATAAACTGAAAATATAGTATTTGAGGATAAAAATATTATTTCACCCAAAAAAGATTTTTCACAAGCTAGAAATTTGAGCTGGTGAGGTTAGGTTAAAAGTCACTTTTCCAACCATGATTTTAAATCAATTTTTGAGTGATTAACATTGCTTATCGAGTGGAAAATCACTTTTCCATTGCTAGAAGCTAAGCCTATAAGTTTGTTCATTTAACTTTAGTCGAACAAAAGAACGAAATTTGTTATTCGTGTTTGTTCATGTTCATTTGATAAAATGATAAACGAACACAACCGAAGAACGTAAACGAACACAAAGGAACGAGTGTAAATGAACATAAAATTAATTGGTTTTGTATTTGAAAAAAGTTATTTTTTCTAAACAATTTTAGGATTTATGTTCTTTAATTAATTTGGGTATTTTTATTCGAGTTTAAAATTTATGAAGTTTTAAAATGTAATGGGTTTAAGATTAAAATTTATTAGGTCTTAATATTTTAAACGAGTTTGGAGTTTGGGATGAATATAAACTAACGAACATAAACAAACATATATGAACGAACATAAACAAACAAATTACCGAACCTTCAAGAACGTAAATGGACAAACGAGCCCTTTGTTCATGTTTGTTCATTTAATTAAACGAACATTAGATTTTATTCATGTTTGTTTGTTTAATAAATGAACTAACATAAACGAACTTCTCGTCGAATAGTTTGATTTGTTTATAGGCGTACTAGAAGCATTCCCAAGTTACAAAAGTAAAATTTAACTAAATATATTTTTTTTAATATTTATATCCTGAAAAAAGTTATCTTATCTTTTAAAAAGATAAAATCTAATCCCAAGTAAATTAGAACACAAAATTTAGGATGAATAGATAAAGCCTAATAATAAGTAAATTAAAACACTAGAATTTAGGATAAACAAATGAAACCTAATCCTAAGTAATTCTTTTTGGATTAAGCTAATGTGATTACAAAGTAATATATGTTATAAATACTCTCACCCATTTGACAATAAACATCCAATCACCCTTGCAACCGTCAGTGCTCGAACTCATAACCTTTAGTAACAACAATGATTATTTTCTACCAATTGAAACTCCAGAATTTAGGTTGAAAACATAAAACCTAATCCTAAGTAAATTAAAACACTAGAATTTAGGATGAACAAAAAGTTCATTTCTACCAACTTATTTCCTTCCACTAATTAAAATCGACTGCTTTCCACAGGCATTGCCTCTGTTTCTTGTATGTAAGGAAGCTATTTTGTCACCTCTGGCACAACGTTGATCGGAGATGGAAATTCTTGTCAGCAGAACCATAACACTTCCATTCCATAATTGACTATTCTCCATCTTTTCCGGAGACACCGGTGACAAAACTTGGGTTTGGATACCGTATTAAGCATCGAACCTAAAACCAATTGGTGACAGGTGAGGGGCCCTACTTTAAACAAGAACAAAGGAGACCTGACACTTAATAGAAATGAGATATCACCACCTAACAATTAGCAATGTACTTGCATGATAAACAGTGAATATAGCAGGGCAGAAAAATGCATGGATAAATCAATTTTAAGTGAATATCATTCGCCATATTTAAGTTTTATCGTTGAATTAACAAGACAAAAATAAGTTGCTTACCTCGATAAGTTTAACATCAACACGATCGCCAACTTTAACAGCCTATGATGGAAAAAGTGACAACCAATAATAATTTGAGTAGCTTATAATGATAATGCATCTGCAAGTTGAGGATAAAAGAAATAAAAAAAATGAAAAAACTATGCTTACATTTTCTGCCTTAATGTGGCAAAATCCCTGAGAAAGCAGAATTTTTTTTATATGTTTGAATCTCCTCGTTCTCGTCATTAAAAAACTTACACATTCTTTTTATAAATTTGATAGTATTTCAAGCAACACAGGCTCTTGGTCCAATACTTTACTCAATTGATTCAATTCAAAGTCATACACAAAACTACGAAAGGTACCACCAATAATAATGCGTATATATGTATGTTTTATCCATATCAATAACTTTGATAAGAGTAGTCACGCTCTTTGTTCGAACCTCACTTAAAAACAAGTGGAAATGTGAGTTAAAGCATAGGAGAAAACTTTCTATGTAAAACAAATTACATATTCCTTAAACTTGGAAATAAGGTGACTGTAAAAATAATCAAACTTTCATACAAAAAAATGTGCAATTTTCTGGATAAAAATATGTACCTCTCGCCCTGGAGCTATCTCAACAAAAACTCCATATGGAACTATTGATTTGATCTCACAATTCCTGCTTAAAAAGATAACAGAGACTCAAAGAGTTCCCAAATATCCATTAACATCCAACAAGTGCAAACAAGAAATGTTATACTTAAGGTACAGAGAACAGAACATTAAACTTGCTTCCTACACTGAATAGTAGCAGCAGTGATTTATACTGAAATATCATAAGTATGGTCCTAAGCATACAAAATCAAGAGCGAAAATTTGTTCCTAACCTAACATAATAATTTTTACATATGTCAACTGGGTCTAAAAATAGTAAGTTAGCGACCATAGTTCCAAAAATTCTTCATATGTCAACCGGGTCTAAAAATTTTACATGGTTGGACAGTGACCAGTACCTCATTATCCTTTGTCTTCCCTTCTCGTTTAAAGAAACCACCCCTGAAGCAACAACAACAAAAATTAAGCATGATACATAGGTTCATTTCAACTAATTAACATAACGAATAAAGGATAGAAAAAGACACACCTAGTCCGACTTGCGGCCGAAAAACGTTCTTGATAAGTAACACTAAGAGGAAAAAAAATCAGAAGGCTCGCTTGGAACATCTGACAAACAAACAGATGTGTATACAATCTACAAAAAAAAATAATAAGCCTCCACTATTTCGTTTAACATGTGAAAAATAGATTCAAAAAAAATCTTAATGCAATGAATTTGAATACGTTTTCATAGGAACACATTACACATGTATACAAGGTAATCAGCACTTACTGTTTCTCCATCAGTTGCCATCACAGAACCACTAGCTTGCCTCCCTATATGACCTGTCTCAATAAGAATCTGCAGCATGCAACAAAATCACTTATCTAATTTGTTAGCATCAGACTGGGTTCAGTATTCACCTGATTATCACTATGAAGCCCAAGAAGAAACAACACCAAAATAAAACTAGCATTTTAACTAACCCAAAGTGTAAAATCTTAGCAAGAAAAGAAATGCTAAAAATTTAAGGCTACCATTTCAAAGAAAACTGCCCATGTATTTTCCCAACTATTGCAATAGGAGAGAGATGTCATAAACTCATTTCCTAAAAAAATTTCAGGATGAAGTTCGAGTAATAACACCTTATTTTGAATTTGCTAAGATTTTACTTTTTTTTGGCAAGCTAATGGTAAAAAGACTACATTCTGTTGAAAAGTCAAAAACATATGGCTAATTCGATGGCTTTCGGTGGAATTAAATAGATGCACCGAAAGTTTAGAAAAGAATGGTGCATGGTCATTCACGGCAGTTTTTGTTGATTTTTAGGTATGGGTAAAATATCAAATTTAGTCATTATACTTTAGGGTATTTACAAGATTAGTCCTTAAGCTTCAACTATAATTACCCTAACCCATTTAGCTTCAAAATCATCCCAAATCATTCTAGCTTTCTCCCAATACTTGAGAATTTAGAGAGTTTCTTGAGAGTTGTTTTCTCCTTTTTATCAAGAGAGAGTTGTAATTGTTTTCTCCTTGGTAGATCGAGAGAAGTTGTAATTCCTATTTTCTCATAGTGAAATTCTTCTATCGTTGCCCGTGATTTTTACCCTATATTATTTAGGGATTTTCCACATAAAATTTGTGTCTTCTTTATTTTCATTTTTATTTTCTCAAATTATCAGTTGCGATTTTTCTCTATCCGATAGTCGTCTTCCGCAACAATTGTTATCAGAGCCAGATTTGAGTGTATAATATCTACTTATTGTCTTTGTGGTTGCCACCAAAAGGTGGATCCTCCAACATAAGAAAATAGAAGGTATTACCTATTCTTTGAAGGTTCTAGAGAACTAATCACGATAGTGAAATAGTGGGAGCTATCCGTAATAGAAGCTATGACAACGAAATTTGATATTGAAAAGTTCAATGGAAGAAATTTCTCATTGTGGAAATTGAAGATGAAGGCCATACTGAAGAAAGACGGTTGTCTAGCAACTATTAGTGCAAGGCCGGTAGATTTCACAGATGACAACAAACGGATCGAGATGGATGGAAATGCTATGACAAACTTTCATCTAGCATTAGTAGATGAAGTATTGTCAAGCATCGAGGAGAAGAAGACATCTAAGGATATATGGGATCATCTCACCAAATTGTACGAGGCCACGTCGTTGCACAATAAAATTTTCCTTAAGAGGAAATTGTACACTCTCCGTATGCCAGAATCTACTTCAGTGACGGAGCACTTAAACACACTGAACACTTTATTTTCTCAGCTTACATCGTTAAGATGTACAATAGGAGAACAAGAACGTACTGAACTTCTACTTCAAAGTCTACTTGATTCGTATGATCACCTTATCATCAACTTGACAAACAATAATGTCACTAGTCTAGTCTTCGATGACGTTGCAGCTGTTGTTCTACAAGAAGAAAATCGGCGTAAGAACAAGGAAGACAGACAAGTAAATCTGCAACAAGAAGAAGCGTTGACAACGATGAGAGGGAGATCAACAAAATGTGGCCAAAGTAGCAGTCACAAACATGGTAGATCGAAGTCGATAAGCAAAAAGAATTTAAAGTGCTACAACTGTGGAAAGAAGGATCACTTGAAGAATGATTGTTAGAGTCTAAATAAAAACTCCAATCCACAAGGCAATACCGCAAACACTTCAGATGATAGAGATGCCCTATGTTGTGAAGCGTCAACCACCGTGGAAGGAATAAAAAAATTTACAGATATATGGTTCATTGATTCGGGAGAAACATATCATATGACCTCAAGAAGAGAATGGTTTCATCCTTATGAGCCTGTCTCAGGAGGATCTGTGCATAGTTGCAATGATCATGCCTTAGAGATCGTTGGCGTGTGAACCATTAAATTAAAGATGTATGATGGAACAATTAAAGTTGTTCGAGATGTGCGACACGTGAAAGGCCTGAAGAAAAATTTATTATCTTACGGATTGTTGGATAATAATGCAAGCAAGATTGAAACATGGAAAGGAATCATGAAGGTGTTCCGTGGAGTGATTGTGGTACTAAAAGGCAAAAAGATAATTGCAAACTTGTACATGCTAAAGGGAGAGACTTTACTAGAAGCAGAAGCCTCTGTTGCCTCATGTAGTTCAGATTCTGCAATGCTATGGCATCGAAAACTTGGACACGTGTCAGAACAAGGAATGAAAGTCCTTGTGGAGAAAAAGCTACTTCCAGGCTTAACAAATGTATCACTTACTTTGTGTGAGCATTGCATAATAAGTGAGCAGCACCTATTGAAATTCAACACGTCAAATTCTAGAGGCAAAAGTGTTCTAGAATTGGTTCATTGTGACGTATGGCAAGCACCAGTTACATCCCTAGGCAGAACAAAATACTTTGTCTCATTTATTGATGACTACTCCAGGAGATGTTGGGTGTACCCTATTAAGAAAAAGTCAGATGTGTTTTCAACTTTCAAAAACTTCAAAACGCTGGTGGAACTTGATTCTAGAAATAAGATCAAGTGTTTCAGAACAGATAATGGAGGAGAATACACAAGTGAAGAATTTGATGACTTTTGTAGGAAATAAGGCATCAAAAGACGATTCACAGTGGCGAACACTCCTCAATAAAATGGAGTGGCAGAGCGGATGAACAGAACCTTGTTAGAAAAAACAAGAGCAATGTTGAGGGATGCAGGCCTAGAAAAATCATTCTGGGAAAAAGCAGTCAATACCGTATGTTATTTGGTGAATCGAGCTCCATCAACTGCAATAGAGCTGAAGACACCAATGGAGATGTGGACTGGTAAACCAGCTGATTATTCAAACCTCCATGTATTTGGAAGTATTGTGTACGTGATGTACAACTCCTAAGAAATTTCAAAGTTGGATCTAAAATCCAGGAAATACAAATTATTGGGGTATGTTGATGGTGTAAAGGGGTATCGCTTGTGGGATCCCACTGCCCGTAAAGTGATCATCAGCAGGGATGTTATCTTTGTAGAAGATAAACTACAAAGAAAAGAAGAATATGATAGTGTTGAAAAGTCAGATACTACACAAATACATGTGGAAAATGAGCTTGAACAAGGAGATTCTTCTGAAGCAGAACCAGAACATGATGAACAAGAACCAGAGAGTTCTGAAGCTCCAACAACTCGTCAATCAGATCATGTGAGACGACGTCCCAATTGGAACTCAGATTATGTTATAGAAGGTAATATTGCATACTACCTTTTAACAAAGGACGGTGAGCCATCAACATACCATGAGGCAATAAACAGCTCAGATGTTTCACTGTGGATGATGGTGATGCAAGAAGAAATCGAAGCCCTTCATAAAAATAATACATGGAACCTTGTGTCACTACCACAAGGAAGGAAGCAAATTGGTAACAAATGGGTATTCAAAATCAAGCGAAATGGTGAAGATCAAGTTGAGAGGTATCATGCAAAACTGGTGGTCAAATGATATGCTCAAAAAAAAGGTATTGATTTCAATGAAATTTTTTCTCACGTGGTTCGACTACAACAGTTCAAGTAGTCTTGGCAATGTGTCCTACATTAAACTTACATCTAGAGCAGCTAGATGTTAGAACAACTTTTCTTCATGGAAATCTTGAAGAATATATTTACATGCTCCAGCCTGAAGGTTTTGAAGAAAAAGAAAAGAAAAACTTGGTTTGCAGGTTGAACAAATCTCTTTACGGTCTAAAGCAGACGCCGATGTATTGGTATAAGATATTTGATCCCTTCATTATGTGCCTTGGATACAACAAACTTAATGCAGACTCTTATGCTTATTTCAAGAGGTTTGGTGATAACGATTTTGTTATATTGTTGTTGTATGTGGATGATATGTTGGTTGCAGGACCCAAAAAAGATCATATTGAAGAGTTGAAGGCACAACTGGCTAGAGAATTTGAAATGAAGGACTTGGGATATGCAAACAAGATTCCTTCTACTGAAACTACATGCTCAAAGAAATTTACTTCATGTAACCAAAACTCATATTTGTTGAACTTTGCATAAAGTTTCTTTTCTCGGGGGATTTATAGCACAATCCAGAGATGCTTATCATGTTGTTCCTATGATTTGGAATACACTAGGATATCATCTATAAAATCCACTAATATTGGTTCATGTTAGATTGAAGCATGTGGTTCATCAAGTCTATGAAAGTTACGGAAGCGTTTGTAAGGCCAAACGACATCGCAGGGAATATAATGTTCATGCCGAGTCTAAAGGCAAATGTCAGAATATCTACCTCCTTAACGTTCAATTTGTAATACCCTAACATCATATCAATCTTTAAGAACACTTCAAATCTTTGAGCTGATAAAAAAGATCATCTATTCCTGGAAGCAAATACTTTTTCTTAACCATCACCTTATTCAATTTCCGATAATCGATGCATAACCTCAAAGAATCATCTTTTTTCTTTACAAATAATATGGGGGCTCCCCAAGGTGATACACTTGGAGGAATAAACCTTTTGTTCAGAAGCTCTTGAAGTTGGGTCTTCAATTCTTGAAGTTCAGTTAGCACTATTCAGTAAAGAGCTATAGACATAGGGGAGGTTCTTGGGTACACCTCTATCCCAAATTCAACATCTCCATATGGAGGTAATCCATACAATTCCTCAAGAAACACGTCTGAGAATTCTTTCACAGTTTGCAATCTCTCTAAACTCAGGGGCGGTATTTTCAAGTTTATCATATAAACTAAAAAAGTTTCTCCACCCTGGATCAAAAGCTTGTGGGTAGTCAAGGATGAAATCACTCGAATGTTATCCATTTTCTCCTCTCAAAATACCACTATATTGGTTTCACAAGGCATTTGTAATTTTAGTTGCTTAATCTTACACCATAAAATTGCAT